TAATTATTTTTAAAGACTCTTGTCTTTAAAAGCAACTTCCCCATCACAAAACAGAAATCACCAGGCTTCTTTCCTGTTCATTCTTTCATTCATTCTTTCACAAACATGCACATAGACAAAAAGGGAGAGAGAAAAAAAGGTTCCAGTTCAGCTATAAAAATATTGCCTGGGAACATGAAGCTTTATTGCCAAGCTGCAAATCTATAATCATTCAAAATAGGGCCCTAGAAGGAAAATCTTGCCTATTGCTCGTGATAGTCTCTTTTTAGGCTCCATTCCCCTCTTGATTTGTGAATTGCCAGACATAAGGTTCTCAAAGAATCCCACAGAAAATATTTCATCTTTGGTAATTTCAACACCCCCCTATTTTACATCGAAACATTACAATAATGAAGATTCATCTTCCCGTCCTTTTATCTGCGCCTCGCTCGCTTGCTTGTCTTTCCTCATTAGCTTTGATATCACAGTGCCATCTACTTGATCAACAGAGTCAGGTTATTTTCCTTAGAAAATAACTGTGTGGCTGTAACCCTGAAGAAATCAAAGGGCTGCTCGGTTCCTCGGTGAGTTCCCCTCTCCCCGACACCTCCCAGCCCTTTCAAAGCCTCTCTGCCCTTAGATGTGCGCCTTTGGGAGGTGGCCCTGCCCTGAGCCTGTTTCACAGCCCGACACAAAGCCCTGGCTGGATGGTAACGGATCCACTGGTGCTGCAAGGACACTGCAAACCCTGCTGACCCTTCTCTCAGCAGGTGTATTCATTTGAGAGCTGAGTTCTTCTCCATAGGCAGAAAATGTGTCAGCCTTTTGTACATCTAAACTGGGGCAGAGGCTTTGTTCGGAGCAAGAAAGCATCGCAGCAGTCAGAGGAGAAGGATTGCATAGCTTGATGGCTGAGCCATCCCTTCTTAAAAATAACCACAGCTGAGCCTGAGCCTTAGCCCCGGCAGGCATGCACTTTATTAATTTCTCCTACAAATATTTAGACAAGAAACACTATAGACAGGGCTAAAAGAAATTATCACTGTGTACTTACTTCTAAAGACCTGTTTCTCTACAGGAATCACCAGTCTGGCAAGATCAACATGAGGAGTGAAGGTGACACTACCGCACTAAATAACTTTTCGCCTAGGAGACAGGCTTTTGTCTCTTTTTCTACTATCGAAAGGTGTTTGAAGTTCTTTTGCTATGTATATTTCAAAGTAATTTTGATTCATTCATTGTGAGAAATCAATGTGTAGACTCTAGTTTTACCTTTCCTTAAGCCTTCCCTTTTATTGCTTTTATCCTCACCTGTCACTCTGTTCTTATCTTACCAGTACAGCTGCAAACTGGTGGGGTATATGGACTAGCAACTTTCCAGTGCTCAAAGTCCTCGGTGGGCCTTACATGCGATTGTCCTTATCAAAGCCTCACCTTTGTGTCCCTCAGAAGACATCTCCACTCAAAGAGGACAGGCACAGTGGTCAACCCGCACCAGCATTTTTCATATACGCTCTGGGATACTGAGTTATAAAGAAAACTGTAACAGCTGGGAGGTATTACAAGAAAACAAATAACTGTTTGCTTACTTAATGGCCATCAGTCTTGATGGCGCTGCCGGTTCATTTATGGCTCGGGACCCAGATAAAGGTTCGCATTGACCCTACAACAATAAGCTCTTACATGCATCTAATACAGTTGCTTGGGAACACAATGCCAATATTTTCCACGTTGGCACCAGCACCTGTTCTGTCTCTTAAGCAGGGTGGCTTCTGTGCAAATAACTCCTATGTGAGTGCTCACATCAACTGGATCCCAGTTTGCTTAGGAGAATTAAATGAGCACAACATACAGCAGTTAAAAGACATTTTCACATTAATTGTAAAAAGAGCGTTTTTTCCGTGTAGATGCCAAATATTCCCTCTTGTCTTACAGATTAGTGGCTTTGATACTGCTTCACCATCAGTTGTTACCAGGGCCAGAAGGGAGCAGGAGTAATTTTGAAATTGAGAGAGGGTTGCTCGTACTATTGCGAGTGACAGCTGAATCTGAGTACTTCACGTGCAGTTCGACTGTGCTTTCCGTGGCATTTCGTTCTCGTCCAGGTAAAGAACAGTAAACAGCAATAAGAGTTTATAGGGCTATCTTGCTCAAATATGCATTTGATTGTTTTTACATATCCCTCCTACTGACTGCACTGGCACAGCCCACTGGTGTAAGACAATCATTGGGTTTAATGCCATGACGGATAAACCAGGATGTGTCTCAAACCTCCCTCCCTCCAAAGGGAACAGGGAAGGCACTGCTCCTGAATGCATCCCCCTCACTCGGAGTATTACAGAAGACATGCTATTTTCAGCATTTTTCGTGCTGAATGGCACAGAGGAGATATTTTTGAGGTTGCAGAAAGTACTCATCTGCATTTCCAGACTGTGGGGTAAACCAGCTCTGGGCTCCTGGCTGGAGCCAGATGAACCATTGGAAGCACAAAGGCAGCAGCAAACCACAGCCGGCTTTCCCCGCAACCATTCCTGTGCTGAATGAACACATACCTTTTCACACCCTGTGCCTGACTTGAGGAGGAAGACAGCTTTTGCATGTGGGTAGATTGCTGGCGTAATAAACACCTGAACAAACTTCACGATATCCTGCGTTGGCTGGAACTCTGCGTATGTGGCAGACAGCCTACAAAGCCAGGAATTCTATCAAGTTTGTCCTTCCACCTCCACCCAGCCAAAATATATTCCCCTGTCCCCCCCCAAACCATCGTAATTTACATAAATAGAATTAGATCTCATATAAATGATGGGACCTGTGTCTTCTGGAAAGCATGACACTGTAAAATCCTGGCGGGGGGACATACCTTCTCTGGGCAATGCTGGCTTAAGCAGCCAACAGCCCGACCTCCAGCTGCTCCCATGTGCCCCTGCATCACCCCCTGCCTCATGCTGCCACAACTGCTGGCGTAGCTGCAGGATGAACTAAACTGGAGCACAGAACCAGATGGAAAATAGCCCAGGGGAAAGGGGGAAGGGAGGGAGTTTTCAGCCAGATCAGTTCCTCCATCTCGTCTTAAATGCCGGTGTTTGCACCCTGCAGCAATAGTGGGAACAAAATCACCCGGGGAAGGGGGGCAGTCAGGTGGTGACTGTTTAAACCAGTTTTACCACCCTCGCTGAATGCCAAGCCACTGCTTCGGAGAAAATAAACCCTCAGGAACAAAAAACCCCACCCTCAAGTCCCACCTTAATCTGTTTACTTGTTGCTGGGGCTTGGATGCTTGTCACAAGGGTGTCACTGGTCGGTCCCTGCGTATGCCTCCCTCCCACTCTGCCTTTCAAGGAACTTTTGTGGTCTGACTTGCAAAACAAAAAGGGTTTCTTAGGGAATATTAAAGAGGAGGCGAGACGTAACACATGAACTGCCTACGTAATACATGACTTCTCTGCATGAGCACAAAGTCTTCCTGGTATCCCCCTGCCACCACTTTATTCCTCTGCCAGGCTGTGTGTCTGGGCTGGACACTTTGTGCAGCACTGGCACAGCGCTGCAATTTGACGTAGTAAATTTCTTAAGAGTTTCATAACCTTTTCCTTTCACTGCTGCGGAGAAATTGGGGGGTGGGGGGAGCTTTGATCAGGAGGTTGCATCACAGGACCAGCTTCTACAAGAAAAATAAAAGCTGTAAATGAGGTTACACTACTACGTTGCATCCCCACTTGTTTTTTTACTACGCAGTCCTTTGGGAACACAGTGTGGCAATGCTACAGCAATACGCTCCACCAGCCAGCGTATGTCAGAGGGACATCAGTTGTGTCCCCCGGCAGATGCTACGGCAATGAGCGTGTGTGCGGCTGACACCGATTAGGCTGCACCGTGGGGCTCCCACCAGGCGTTTCCGCAGGGGATGGGTATCACAGCAGCCGCAGTGATTGCTACTGATGGCTGTTGGGGCTCTTCCCAGGAAAAGTCCGGTCCAAGTTCAGATGCCAGCAGCTCCTGCTGTTTTAACATGAGCCTGATTAGAGCAGCGCTACGGAGGATTGCTAGACAGTGCCTGCGTGCCAGAGGCCGTGCTAACAGACAGGATAATAAGAGCTCTTCCAGGGGCTGATCCAGGGGTATTATAAGCAGCTGTTTTGGTATCACTTTCTTGGCCATCAGAGCACGGGGATTTGTTGTGGCAGGCTCCCCAAAAGCCTTTTGTGTTGCCTCTCTGTGTGGTGTAAAGCAGGACACAGCCTGGTTTGAGACAAGCATCAGCTCCACGCTGCTCTCCACCTCCCAGAAGTGTTCTCATCTCCTTCTGAGCCCTTTTCTTCATTGTCCCAGGGGATTGGTTTCCCTTCAAACCTGTAGATCAGGAGTTTCCAGCCTAAAAGCTACAACTCTCGGTGGGGTCAGGAGCCTGGGGAGGATTTGGGGTCCTGACCAGGCTGCTGGTTGGGCACTAGCCCTGGGGAAGGAGAAGGAGCGAGCATCAAAGGGGTGGCTGGCCTCCCCTCCTGTTTGCCTTGCCCTCTGCTTCCCTGCTGCCCCAGGGAAGATGTCCCATGCCATCCTGACCGTGCCTTGCCACTCTCGGTCCCATGCCATCCTGGCTGTGCCTTGCCGCTCTCGGCCATCTGTGCAGGGCAGGGGCAGCCCAGGCGGAGCTGGGAGGATGCCACTCCACTTTGGGGTGCCAGCACCCAGGGCCCCGCGGCGAGGTGAGGGGTGTCCCCTGGAGCAGGGAAAGGGGCCGTGCATGGCTGCGGTTTGGGGCTGGCTCTGGACCCAGCCCCTCCAGGCTGTGCTTGCACACAAGGCAGGTGAATGCAAACACCGCCCGGGGCGTCAGCTTCCCGGGGGTGGAGCAGCTCCGGCACAGGTGACAGGGCTCACCCTGGGGCCCTGCGGAGCTCTGCTCCACAAACCAGGCCCAAAGCAACCAGCCTTCCCCTGGGCAGTGAGCTCACCTCCCTAAAAACCCAGCTATTGCTCCCCCTCCCTGCCACTGCCCCCGCCAAGCCAGGCTGGCCATGGCGAGCATGGATTGTGCGGGGAAGGAGGGCACGGGGGGCAAGAGGAGGAATTTGGCCCTGCTGAGGAACAAGCTGTACATGGGGGAGAGGAGGAGGACGGAGCCTGTGGTGGAGAGCACGGCCGGGGACCACGGCACCTTGAGGAGGAGTCAGTCGGACAGGACAGAGTACAGCCAGAAATTACAAGGTACGGGGGATGCTGGCGTGGTGCAGTGCTGCTGGGGATGCTCTGGGCTGGGTGGTATCTCGACACCCTCTGGGCTGCAGCCTTGGGATGAAGAAGGGAATGACAGTCTCTGCCCCCAGGAGTGAGCAATTGCCTCCTCTCACCCTTCTCCCCCTGCTTCCAGGGTGTGAAATGTTTCCCCTAATTTTTCTAAATAATGTTGTGAAGACAGGATGCTAAATGCAATCGAAGGTTTCAGTGTGTTCCTGCAAAATGCATTTGCAACCAGGATCTTTCTCGTTCGTTGCCAGAACGCATTTGCAACGCAAACAGGGATGTGAAAATGGGATGGGATGGCTCCATCCTATGTGTCTGTGGCTGTTGTATCAAGTGGGGTATATGCTAAGTCATTAGAAGCATCAAGGGCAGTTTTTTTTTCTTTCCGTTAAAAATACCAGGATTAAAATGTGTTTATCTGTTGCTCACCAACAAGCCCGAACTGAAATACATCCAAATACATGTTTTGATGGATATGCTGATCCAAATCATACCATTACGGAGAGGGTTTATTTTCAAATAACCAAACTGCATGTGGACCAGAAATTGGCAATGTATGTTGGTATTGGGCCTGTCAATAAAAAATTAAATGTGATACCGCAAACTGAGGAAAAGCATGAAGAATGCGTGTGGCTATTTCTGGGAGTGCTCACAAATTTGCCTATGAATTTCTGTGGGTTTCCAGGGTCTGAAAAACAGGCTCCCATCACAAATGTGGAGTTTGAGTATTATAAGTGTGCATTACTAAGAGTGATATAACTGCCTGGTGACAGTTACTCTTGTGGCAATAATCCTTTATGGGGAAATAAAATAGGAAAATACTTTGGGTTGATGTATTATGGTTTCGATGCACTTAATTAGGAAGCAGCATTCCTACAGAGAGGCAATAAAAGCAGAAAATAAAATAATAAACCTGAAAATAGTGGGATTTCTGTAGGGGCTGCATACACTGGAAACAACAGAGCGGCTCATCGATGATGCTGTTCCCTCCTTCTGATAGCTAATCAATGAGAAGATGAAAGATTTTCAGTTAGGTCAGGCACGTGCTGCAGGGATCTGGCAGCGGTGTTTCAGGGCACAAGCACAGATCGCTACGGCTGGGCAGGCAAGCTCCTGGCACACATCCCACCAAAGCAGCAGGATTTTACTCGCGAAGGGGGCTGCCCAGGTGAGGTCAAGGTTATCAAGAGCAGTACCCAGCAAAAAGTGAGAGGTCTTTCTGTTCTGTGTCAGGTGTATTCATGCCATGACCGTCTCCTGTTTAAACTCAGGAGCAAAAGAGGTGGGGAAGCCCAGGTAGTCGTGGCAGAGCATGAGGTTATGTTTATGGCAGCAGTCCAAGGAGACAGTAAATCCAGCTTTACAGCTCCTGCCACCGGCTGAGCCTGCTGCGGCCGGCTATTGCAAAGCCCCAGCCCGGTATTGCCTCACTCTGCTGGTTCAAGAAAAATGGTGATGGGTTACCAAGGTACCTGCAGGTTTTATGTTGGATTAGAAGTTGCCTGTCTCAGAGTGAAAATACAAAGTTGGTAGAAATTCCTGTGAAGTGTATTTACAGTCGCAACAGCAAGAAATGCGCTTGCGTGCCAAGGCCTGATCTGGATCAAATTTTGCTGAGCTAGATGTGCCTGGATCTGATAATGATCATGGATCCCAGACCTCGTATGTTACCTGCCAGCACTGATGATGTGCTATGATTGCACGCCGTTATGTCCTTCATTTTTCTCACTAGCGCTTGGATGCGAAGCAGCTTACTCCGAGGTGAGGGAAGTGGTTTTGTTGGCACAAAGCTTTTGAGTTCTCCATTCTTGGTGAGAAAACAGCTCTGTTAGTGACATAAAGGATCTGTTGTGTGGGGGACACTCTGATCACCCTGGAACGGTAAATGCTTTGCAAAAAGATATAAATAGTAAAAATTTGCCCTTCCTTCCCATATGAATCGGAGGAAAAGCTCTGTGTTTAGTTGCCCCTCCCTTCTGTAGTCCCCTGTTAATAGGTTTCCTAACACACAGTCTGCAGAGCTGTGGGAACTGTTATCACAGACAAAGGTGTGTAAGACAGGGAGATGCAACAGGAGCAAAACCTCCAGAGGGGAATCTCCGGAGGAGGCAGAGGCTGCAGGACCCGCATCTCTGCTGGTGGCAGGAACCCAGGCAGAGCTCGGGGACCAAGGGGTCTTTACACCCCAGTGCCTAGGTCAGCACTGAAGGAGTTTTGTGCAAGGTGAAGCATGGGCGAGACCTCTCCAGGGCCCTTCCAGCCCTCTGGGTACTTGAAATGGTTCCCAGAGTAACCGGCTGTTGCCACCCCCAGACATTTCCATCAGCTCTGAAGTACATGCTCAAAGGGCAGCTCAGTGTGCTGGAAATATAGGTCCCTAAATAAAAGCCTATAAACAAGCAAACAAAAAAACCCCGAAACAAGTGAGCAAGCAGTCAGGCATAAAACCTCCTGAGAATTCAGTTTCTGCCCTTGGATTTCTCTTGAGTTCTGCTGTTTTACACAAAATCCCAAATGTTTTCTATAAAGAGTGAGGAAGGGAGCCCACTGCCCAAATCTCCAGGGGAATCAAGGCAGTTTGCTCTGTAAAGTCTACAAACATGGGCACAATAGTATTGTCAAAGGTGCAAACTTCTGCCAGTGTTTTTGCCTTTAAAATTAAGGATTCATTAAAAACACAAAAAAGCATTTTCATGGTTAATTATTATACTAGAGACATCTATTCAGTACCTTATCTCGTGTGAATGGCCACCTCCTGGCTTTACTCTTTCTAAAAAGGAAACAAGATACAAAGTAATCATTGTATTCTCAAAGAGATAACCTAAGGCCTGCAGCCCCATTTTAGGGAAAAATAGCAGAAAATAAGGTGGGATAGGGGAAAATAAGGCAATTGTTATGAAAGGGCAGGTTCATGATACAACCATGCGGTCATCTCAGGTTGTAGCGGTGTTCTTGGATGAGTCCAGAAACACCTTGATTAAGACATGTATATATTTTGCTTCCATAGTTCTCCATCAACTGGACAGAAGCATCACTTTTATAAAGAGGGAAAAATTATCTGTAGCTGTCAGCTATCGATAACAGCTACCTATCTGTAGCTGTTTAGCTGGTAGGAGGTGGTCTCTTTTCTAAAAATCCATCAGTAGCAGCTGTAAGAGTAACTATACTAATACCTATGTATTGCATTAATGTTGAGATCAGTCTTTGAATTAACCTAAAGCTACCTCCATCCCATCCTCCTCCTCGCCTGTGTGGGCTGCCCATGCTCACAGCTTCTCGGCACCTCCCACCAGGAGCAGAGATCCTCCGCGCCTCTCCCCAGTTCCTTATTTGCTTTGCGCTGTACTTACTGATTAACTTGCTATGGACTACAATGGAGATAATATCCTATTTCACTGCAAAATGTATTGATCTTTGGAGCAGCAAGTTTGCTGAATAAAAGTCCGGATTATTTCCTGAAGCACAGGAGATGGCTTGGTGAAAATACTCCCCTGTGCCCTGTGATGGGAAGTCACAATCTAAAAAATACTTTTATTTTCTCCCATGCACGTTTAAGCTTGGAGGATCTAATTCTGTTAACTTGCCCTGTGATAAAGCTGGAGTTATTCCTTGCAGTGGCAGCCAGGCTGGAAAGTGAGCTCATCTTTTCAGAGCAGAACCCATTTTGCGCTGCTGTGTTTGCACAGCACGTGGCACTATCAGGTCCTGCTGTGTGGCTTCGGACTCGTAGGAGCTACTGCAGCATAACTAGGAACAGCAACCGGGGTAAAGGAGCGAAGACTAGGACCCAAGGAGGTTTACGGATCCTTCTCTGAGCATATTAGCAAACCTTTGATTAATTGGGATACTTTGTGTTGTGGGTCACCCAGCTCACAGTTTGTACGGCTAATCTGTGCCAAATCTTGAGGCGCACGTGTCCCAGCGGAA